CGGACAACATATGTGCTCCTGGGACGCTTTGTTCAACGCGAACATCGACTCCAGCGAGAAGTAGTCATCACGGTCGCCAACAACCAGAACCTGCGCACACGACGACAAGGAGTAGTTCAACTTCAACCAAGAGAGACAAACGTCATACTGCACATGTCAAAGGTACTCATCGCAGAAGGACTCGGTTATAACTTACTGAGCATCAGCCAGTTGATGGCGAAGGGCATCCATCTGGAAGCCGACAGCACCACCCAGGAATTTAAATTATATCACGGGAAAGGCGGCCTTTACATCGGGAAGGCAGTTCTGAAGAACAACGTCTTCGTCCTGGATTTCGTCCCGGACCTGGGCACCGCAGACAGCGACGCTATTGTTAACTTCACGGACTGGACGCACCCTCCATCCAGACTTCAGCCCGGAAGGCTTCTGGTACTCCCATACTATCCCTGAAGCAGAACGAACACGCGCATTAGCAACAATACAGCACTCGACAGCAGCAGAGACAACATCGACAGCAGCAGAGACATCGTCGGCAGCAGCAGAGACATCATCGGCAGCAGCAGAAACAACAACGACAGCAGCAGAGACATCATCGGCAGCAGCAGAGACAACATCGGCAGCAGCAGCAGGAACAACGACACCAGCCCTCGTCGACGAAGAACCACCAACACCCGCACAGCAACTGAACCCGACTCAACGAGAAGTCCACAGAAGCGCCAATGTCGTCGCCAGCTTCTACTCCAACTCCGACGCGTATCAACGCTCACCCGGACATCGCGCTCCTGAAGACATCTCGCACGCACGCACAGGACATCCAAGCAACACAGTATTAAATAACACAATACGAGCAGGAGTCCTCGACAAAGATTCGCTACTACTACCCGACGGCAGAGAACTTCAACGGGCACGAGGAACTTGTCTTACCTGCCCCGAAGCTGACTTACCACATCGACCGTTCGCTCCTCATCACAACCCGAGCGCACCGGCGTACGCACCACTCGAGAAGGTGTACAGCGACATCCTCTACAATCGCGAACCAGGACAAGTCACCTACAATTACACAATAACCTTCATCGACGCCGCCACTCGATACGTCTGGCATCGAAACCTACTCAGCCGCGACATGGCACTCGCAGCGTTCGCCGCTTGGCTACCAGTAGCAGAACGAGAGTCGGGAGCACAGCTGAAAAGCTTCCAGTCAGACGGAGGAGGAGAATACACCTCTCAGCGCTTCAAGCAGTACCTGGCGGAAAGAGGAATCAAGCAACTCCTCTCCCTTCCCTACGCCCATCAGCAGCAAGGTGTCGCAGAACGAATGAACAGGACTCTGCAGAACAGCATGCGCAAACTGTTACGTGGCATGCGGCTACCCAACCACCAGTGGCCTGCAGCAATGGACCACGCTGTCATGCTGCACAACTTGATGTCGTCGTTCTCACTCCCGAACAACGCATCACCGCATCTGCTGTGGACAGGGAAGCAGGGCAGCACAAAAATGTTACGAGTTTTTGGGTGCATGGTACAGTACCGACCCCCTAAGGCACGAGCGGGAAGATTTTCACAACACGCACAGTGGGGACTACACCTCGGCATCGAAAAAGAATTACAACGCGTGGAAAATCTTTGACGTCCACTCAAAAGAAACAGTAGCAGCACGTGATGTGATCTTCTACGAACGCCTCACCCTTCAGACGTACCTCGCCAACTTGCACGAGAATCAGGGCCCCACAGGTGGCTTTCATGGTGACCGAGCATTCGCCTCAGCAGCAGACGAAGCAGACTGGGACGAGCAGAACGTCGACAACGCATCTGAAGAAGCCGGACCTCTCCCGTTCTGCTTCGTCAACGTCCCCATGGACGAAGAAAATCCTCGCGAAAGTGCCAACGCCGAAGTCTTCTATCACTTCGCCGACAATGGTTACGTAACACCTGCAACAGCCAACACCAACGAAGCAGAAAGAGTAGGATCGAATTTCATACCCGACCCAGAAGCGGGAGATGAAGCAGCTTATCCCGAGGACACAACACTCCCCTGCTACTCACAGACCGGACTGCAGATTCTCGGCCTCGTCACCGCAGTCCATGGCTCCTCTCTTCCTAAAGTGCCTGCGACAGTTCAACAGGCTCTGGGGGGGGAACACAAGGAGAAATGGCGTGAAGCCATGGACAGAGAGTTAAAAGCATTGGAGGAACACAACACCTGGAAAGTCGTTCCAGCAAGCATAGCAAGAAACAAGACCATTCTTACCGGGAAGTGGGTCTTCCGCATCAAAACGAAAGCAGATGGCACAATCGAGAAGTTCAAGGCACGATGGGTCATGCGAGGATTTGATCAGGAACAAGGCCGGGACTTCACCGAGACATTCGCCCCGGTTAGCCGACACACCTCTCTCCGAATCCTCCTTGCGATCGCCGCCATGAAGAAGAAGAAACTGCGACAAATCGATGTCGCTAACGCTTTCCTCTACGCACCCGTCGACGCCGAAATCTTCGTCGAGCTCCCTCACGGTACTCACGGGGAACCCAATCAGGTCTGTCAACTACTAAAATCGTTTTACGGTGTCAAACAGGCCCCACGACTGTGGCAACAGCACCTACACACCCGCCTCATCCGCATCGGATTCCGTCAACTACCTCACGATCAAGGCATGTATCGACTCACCAAAGGCGCCAACTACATCCTGCTCATTGTCTACGTCGACGATCTACTCTACATCGGCTCTACCGACGACATCGCTACCTGGTTCGAAGGGGAGCTGAAAAAGGACCTCACACTCACGGTCTCCACTACCGTCACTCAGAATCTCAGGCTCAACATTCGCGAAGAAGAAAATGCGATCTATCTCAGCGCCGAGAAGTACGCCGACACCATCGCCAAACGGTTCGCACTCACACCTGCTACTATCCACACGCCATACCGCTACACGGCAGGAAACGGCAAAAGAAGCTCCGTCCTACTTAAGACCGCCGGAATACGCGACTACCAGCGAAAACTGGGCTGTCTGCTCTTCGCAGCCGTCACCTGCCGCCCAGACCTGTCCTACTCCGCTAGCCAACTCGCTACCTATCTCAAGAGGCCCGAAGCAGAACACCTAGCAGAACTCGACCGTGCTCTTCACTACTTCGTGAGCGCCGCAACGATCGGCCTGACGTACTACAAAGACACAACTACGCCGACGAAACTAATCGGCTATGTCGATGCCGATCACGCCGGCGACTCAGATAACAGGCGCTCTCGCACTGGCTACATCTATCGCCTAGAACCTATCGGACCTATTTCCTGGCAATCGAGCAAGCAGGAACTAATTGCGCTCTCCTCAGCTGAAGCAGAATATATCGCCCTTTGCTCAGCCACCAAGGAAGGACTCTACCTTCGCGAGCTGCTGGAAGAAGCAAAGTTAGCCGAGTTACCCAACTTCACCTTGTTCTGCGACAACCAATCCGCAATTCGCATCGCCAACAAGAGCGGATTCGCGAACAGAATGAAGCATATCGCCCTGCGATACTTCTTCGTGAAAGACGAAATCGAGAAAGGGAAACTCGATCTATCATACTGTCCCACGTCCGAGATGGCAGCCGACTACTTGACAAAGAAACTTGGAAAATAGAAGTTTGAGTACTGCATGCTGCTGACTGGACAAAGCCACGTCACCATCAGCGACACTCCAGAGGCGAAGGGGAGTGTTGGGAACAAATAAGTTAAGCGCCTCTGTCGTGTCAGTACTCAAGACACAAAACGAAGCAGCTCAAGTCGAAGCAACGCGAGTCAACCAATGAGGTTAACGTAACCGTCGGAGGTTACGGGAAAGTCAAAGGGCAGCGACCTTTGACCTGACGCAGCGCGACAGCAAGGACAAACAACTGACTCGACATTGAGCAGTTGCCCGAGTCGCACTGTATCGAACCGCAACAGTAAAATTAGTTATAATGTCTCTTCATATTCTCTGTACTCATCTATTTATATTATTGTATCTCTTTGCTTTTATCAACTTACTTTGCCCTCACATACTAGCGCAAGGTGGTTCAAGAGCTTTATTCAACGCTTCCGCTATTACAACATCTACTCAGACTATAACTCTACAAAGATCCTAGGGCGTTTCAGCCCAACAATCTGCATGCATCCAGATGTGATTTGGGTGTTGTTTGATGGTAGTGGTATCGAGTGACAAATAGCTATGCCATGTATTGATGTTGGATCCTTCGCATAATACACAACTCTTTTATTAGGTGCAGAAATGCACATGCCCATCACAAGGAAGTGCAACAAAAGCAACATACGGTATATTTCCATAGAAGTTGCCAAGAGTGGACTATAGGCACATGCACAAAGCTAAGAGGTGGTAACTTTTCAACCCACACCTGTCAGGCCACGACCCATGGTGCTGGGCACATGTACAAGCATGGTTCTGTGATGGAAGGGGGAGCAAGGAAAGGGGATGGCAGCGTGTGGGGAAGGGGATGGCAGCGTGGGGGGAAGGGGATGGCATCGTGTGGGGAAGGGGATGGCAGCCACCGGACATCATCTCCTCGCTGCTCCTGCTCTTCATTTTGTAGCCACCAGACACACTACCACCCCTATTGTTGCGCTTCCCCTCCCTTCGATGGTGACTCCTCTTACCTGTGCTTAGGGTTGGCTTTGGGGAAAGGGAGGATTATTGTGTGGGAAAAGGGCGAGGGAGAGTGGGGTATTGGACGGGGAGGAATGGGGGAATGAACGGGTGAGAGTGAAGGAAAGGACGGGGGGGAGTCGGGGAAAGGAAGGAGGCAGTGGGGGACTGGACGCGGGGGAGAGGGGGCTGGGGCGGGTGGGTGTCGGGGTAGGAAATGGGAGCGGGAGAGAGGGTTATGGCAGGGGTGGCGGGAAGGGGTTGGAAGCGTGCGCGGAAACAATGTGAGCCGGGGGGGGAGGAGAATGAGCAGGGGAGACAGAGTGAGCTGGAGAGATCGAGGTGTGTGAGGGTGATACTGGTGCTTGTAACCACTTCAGGTCGCAGGGCGGGCTATGAGTGCGTGGAGGGGGAGTAGAGTGCGGTGGAGAGTGGTGAGGAGCTGGCATATCGTGTGGGGACGGGAGTGGGCGAGGTGTAACACAAGGGCGTGAGAGACAGCAGCAGGGTAGAGGTGGAGGTGTGTGAGGGATACTGCTGCTTGTAACCACTGCTAGCCGCAGGGCGGGGTGTGAGGTCCTGGAGGAGTGGAGTGCGGTGGAGGGTGGTGAGGTGCGGAGGAGGAGGAAGTGTGGCGCCGCGCGAGTGGGAGAGGACGAGGTGGGTGAGGGGGTGGAAAAGACACTGGTGGGAGTGGGATAAAGGGGAGCATCGGTGCAGGAGGCGTTCGCGCAAGTGAATCAGGGATGGGAGAATGACAAGGGTAGCTGGGAGAAGGGAGGACGGCAAAGGGTAGCACAGTGAAGGTAAGGCCCTTACCGTAAGAGGAGGTCTAGCGAAGGGGAATGGAGGGGTTGGAGTGGGGGAAGGGGAGGAATGGCGTGGGGGAGAAGGGAAGGGTAAGGGGGTAAAGGGAACTGAACCGAGAAGGGAAAGGAGGAGGCATATTCGAGGGAGAGAAAATGGGGGGTTGAAGGCAAGGGAAGGGGGGAAATGGGTGAGAAGGGGGGAAAGAGAATGAGCATGGGGAAAGAGAGTGAGGGCGGTAATTCCCATGAGCAGAGGGGGAGAGAGTGAGCATGGGAGTGAAGGCGACAGGAGGGGGAAGTGTAGAGCAACGACGTGGTGAAAGGGAGGGTTGGCGAGAGGGCAAGGGAGAGTTGGCGCGGGGGAACGGGTTGGCACGGGGGGGAGGAAGGGTCAGCGTGGGGGAAAGGGAGGGTGGTAGTGGGGGAAGAGGAGGGGGTGAGTGGGGGAAAGGGAGGAGTAACGTAGGGGAGAGAGAGGGTTGGCGTGGGGGAAATGGAAGGGTGACACGAGGGAATGGAGGATTAACGTGAGGGAAAGGGGGGATTAGCGTGAGGGAAAGGGAGGATTAGCGTGAGGGAAAGGGAGGATTAGCGTGAGGGAAAGGGAGGATTAGCGTGAGGGAAAGGAATGCTTATGTGGGGGAAAAGGGCGAGGGAGAGTGGGGGAAATGACGGGGGGGAGTGGGGGAAATGACCGGGCCAGTGGGGGAATGGACGGGTGCGAGTGGGGGAAAGTACGGGGGGGAGTGGGGGATTGGGCGGGTGGTAGGGAGGGAAAGGGAGGATTAGCGTGGGGAAATGGCGGGTTGGCGTCGGGTGCAGGGAGGGGTAGCGTCGGGGCAGGAAGCGTTAGCGCAAGTGAATCTTCCAACTTGTGGAAGAGGGGGGGAGACTGGGAAGAGAATGAGCAGGGGAGACAGACAGAGAGAGCCGGGGGGTAGCGAAGGAGCAGAGGAAACAGGGTGAGCCGGGGAAGCGAGGGCGACGGGAGAATGAGCAGGGAGATGGGAGGGGGGAGCGAGGGCGATGGGAGAGGGAAGTGAAGGCGACGGGAGGGGGAAGTGAAGGCGACGGGAGGAGGGAGTGAAGGCGACGGGAGGAGGGAGTGAAGGCGACGCGAGAGGGATGTGAAGGCGACGGGAGGAGGGAGTGAAGGCGACGGGAGAGGGATGTGAAGGCGACGGGAGGGGGATGTGAAGGCGACGGGAGGGGGAAGTGAAGGCGACGGGAGGAGGGAGTGAAGGCGACGGGAGGAGGGAGTGAAGGCGACGCGAGAGGGATGTGAAGGCGACGGGAGGAGGGAGTGAAGGCGACGGGAGAGGGATGTGAAGGCGACGGGAGGGGGATGTGAAGGCGACGGGAGGGGGAAGTGAAGGCGACCGGAGGAGGGAGTGAAGGCGACGGGAGGGGGACGGGACGAGCAAACGCTACTCGCGGGGTAATCGAAAGGATTCGCAGCTTGCCAGGTGACGCACGTACGGGCGTTTCCGACTCGTGCGATGTGTCGCTTCTAATTCGGAGCGATAAGAAATGATGCAATCGCGCAGCTTTGTGAACGCTATCACTATCCCCCGCCGCCTGCTTTGACGGATAGGGCTCTGCCCTTGCGCTGGGCTCAATTTCCTAGCTACCTGTAGTCGGCGCAGTTTCCTTGCCTACAAAGCAGTGACGTGGTGTTGGGAAATGGGGTTGTGAGTCAGGTTGCTGTGAGGTGTCGCTCTAGGCTATGTGCGACTGATGTGCTCGTGAAGTACATGTCGCAGGTAAACCCTGGTAACATTGGGGAACCTGCGCAAGTTCACGAACATTCTCCAACAATCTCGACACCCCCAACGTTCGCGGGCCAATCGCGTTTTCACTCCCAACCAGCTTCCTAAGGGCGGGTCCAGCGCGTACGTTTTCCGTACATTACAGTTCATCCAGTACGGTAATCTGTACTTCGTCACGGTTCAAAACGGTGCAATTTAAAAACCACTGTGCACCGCCTGATATCTTTTCAAACCACGACGAATGATCTGTATAGGACCTGAAAACGTACGCGCTGGACCCGCCCTAAGGTTGAACTTCTTGGCCTGCGGGTTTTAAGAACCTGACTTCTGTATCCATATTTGGGGCCAAGAATCTGGATGACAAACTCCTCATCGGCCTGGCTTGGGCCTGTCCCAAGCTGATGCACCTAATTCTTGATAATATCACACCCTCGAATCCCGAACAGCTCAAAAATTTGCCTGGAAGGGTGTAAAATTATCCGGGCAAAAAAAAAAGTTCCCAATAATTTCACACACGAGGCGCTTTTTTTTCGTGCTGACTGGGCCTCGAAATGCAGGAACGGTTTGACGAACTGAGGACTTTGTGCTGACAAGGACTAGAGTTGAAAATGGATGTTGACTGATTCTCCGAATTTTTAACCCCAATGAAAGATAAGCACGTCGAGTTGCTTATCTCAATTCGGACCAGTCAGAATCGACTAAAATCCATGTCGAAACTTAGATTCAGATATCCTCGTTCTTCATGGGTCCTCAGGCTGGTTACTGGTAAGAACTCTACACCCTATTCATTCATTCGAGCTTTGTATAATGACACGCAGAATGAAACTACGTTACTTACTACGAAACTAGACACGACCTAGGTTGAACCCAGCAACCCCGTTCCACCCCACTTCTCGGAGTATAAAAGGCCCTCATTCTCGCATTTCCATTCAGTGATGTTCAACCATGCTTCGCCAGCTTGGTAGCCCTAAGGCTTTGCCGAAGTAACCGAAGAGCGGGGTGAAATTAGGGGGTGTAAAATTATCGAGAATAGGGTGTAGATCTGCAACTTAGCAGCTCTGGCCGTTCCCGAATCACGCGTATGGGACTAGATGCACTGTTCACGGCGTGCACTGACCTGCAGGTACTTTCCTAACAGATATCAGTGAAGATTCAACAGATGCCAGCTTCTTTCTTCGGTTTAACCTCGTCAAAAGACGTCACGCTCAGCTTCGCCCTCGGCGAATTCCCGGATCAGTTCGGCGGCCTCAAATCTCTCGAGGTTTTGACGTTGGAATGCTTACACAACACAGACCTACCAGATTCGATCGACCAATTCACCGCTTTGACCGAGCTGAGCATTTCCAACTGCCAGCGGCATCAGGATCTGCCGGATTCCATCGGCGATCTTTGTTCATTACAAAAACTAGAGATTTTCCGCGCGAAGCCGTTAGAAGTCCTCCCTGACAGCATCGGCCAGCTTCAAAACCTCGAGAATGTTCTTCTCCAGCTCAACCGGTCCCTCTGCGAGCTTCCGGATTCCTTTTTCCATCTCCCGTCCCTCAAGGTTCTCAAGCTATGGGACCTGAAAGATCTTTCGGAGCTTGAAGGCGCTGTGTCGAATCTCGTGAATTTGGAAATGCTTCACATTGAGAAATGCTGGTTCACTTCGCTCCCGGATTCCCTCTGCCAGCTTCCCAACCTCCGTCGCCTGATGGTCACCGACTGCTGGGCTCTCACCACCCTTCCGCGAAGCATCGGCGACGCATCTTCACTGCAGCGTCTGAAATTTTCCAACCTCGGAAGCTTGGAGTGCCTGCCGGATTCCATTTCGAAGCTGAATGATCTGCGATCATTCGTCCTGAAACGATGCGGTGCCATCGAAGAGGTCCCGGCTTCTCTCTTCCAGGGCTGCACGGACTTGAGAAAACTGGAGTTTGACTGGCCATACAGCTGCGGGAATGGCGTCCGGGCTGGGAGAGTGCCTTCAGCTGAAGCCTTTGTGTCTAACCTTTGCGAATTATCCAGCCTCACATCCCTTGTCCTGTCTGGTGTTTCAGATCTCAGTACTCTGTGAAACAAGTGAACAGGATTGAAATGACTAAGGAAAGATTGGGTACAAATACAACCCTAGAAACCCTGTACCCCATATGTGCTACCCCACTATAGCCTACAGCAACTATGTCATATAAATCTGACACACCCCCATAGGCAAAGTGGGGGAGAACAAGGGGTCACAAGACCAGTCAAGCAAAGCAAAGCAAGCTCAGGGTGGATCACAAAGTCACCACACAGTCCGAGCACAAGAGCAGGGCCAGAGGCCAGTTCACATGCAAGAGTACGGACATATATATAAAACTAGACAAGCAAGAGCAGGTATATATATATGTCACAGTACAAGTGAAGTCAAGAGGAGAGCAAGTGAGGCAAGACAGGCACAAGACCCAGCTGGGTGCAAAAGCGCTGATGGTCACAAGGCGCGAGTGCCTTGGTGAACACATCAGCAGTGTTGGCCTCAGAGGCCACGTACGCAAGTCGCAACTGACCACGCTGCTGCAGCTCACGAGCAAGGAAGTAGCGGAGAGCAATGTGCTTCGTTCTGTGCTCCAAGCGCTGCTCTCGACACAAGGCCAGCATGGCCTTGTTGTCTACGTACAGCACTGGAGGAGAACGAGGCGGCTCTCCAAGGTCAGTCAGCAGGTAGGTGAGCCAGCGAAGCTCCTGTGCAGCCATGGCCCCGGCGTAGATCTCGGCCTCACAACTGGAGCCGAGAACCGAAGACGAGCGAGTAGACCGCCACGAGACAGAGCCGGAACCAAGGCTGAAGGTGTAACCCTATGACGACCGCTGCGTAGCCTGGTCGTCAGCCCAAGAAGCGTCCACGTGGCCGGTAAGGACCACTGGACTCCGCCCTCCAAGCACTAGCCCCATGCCCGACGTACTGCACAGGTAGCGCAATACCCTCTTCGCTACAGCCATGTGCTCTGGTCTGTGTCTCCCAGGAGCAACATAGCGTGCAAGAATGCTCAGAGGGTATGCAAGGTCAGGTCGTGTGCAGGTCATCAGGTACATGAGGCAGCCAACAAGCTCTGCATACGGACCACTCGACTCTATGGACTCATCCGAAGGCAGAGCTGAGAGTGAGTGGCGAGTAGGCAGAGGAGTGGCCTGAGGCGAGGAGTACGTGAAGCCGAAGCGCTGAAGAACCTGCTGCACCATGTGTGACTGAGTCAAGGTAATGGTGCGGCGTGCTCTGTCCCGAGTGATCTGCAAGCCAAGGTAGCTGCGCAGTTCACCCAGGTCTGTGCACGTGTGTCTCTTCAGCAGCTCGGACTTCACGTAGGCGAGTCCAGCAGTGTCAGCTGTGGCAAAGACCAAGTCGTCGACGTACACGAGGATGTAGAACGGCGGCAGGGAAGTGTCGGTGCGAAGAAACAGCGACGGGTCAGCAGTAGAAGGAGCAAACCCAAGAGCCGCAAGCGTAGTCCTCAGTGTGTCGTGCCACTCACGCGGTGCCTGGCGGAGACCGTAGACTGGCCGTCGGAGGCTCCACTGGGTGCCACGAGGGAAAGTCCCAGTGAAGCCAGGTGGACGGCGAAGCCAGATCTCCTCGTGCAGGCTACCCTGCAAGAACGCAGTGCTGAAGTCGAGAGAGTGAAGCTCGTAGTCGCGCTGAGCGGCTACGTGCAGCAGCACCCGAAGAGTAGTCATCTTCGGGGTGGGAGAGAAGGTCTGAAAGTAGTCAACTCCCTGCCGCTGACTGAAGCCACGAGCAACGTACCGTGCCTTGAAGACAGGTGGAGAGCCCGGCGGCCGCTTCACCCTGAAGATCCACATGCCACTGACGATGTTCGCCCCAAGAGGGGGAACCGCGTCAACGTAGGTGCCTGTGGACTTCCAGGAAGCCATCTCTACATCCATAGCTGCCTGCCACTGAGAGGAGTAGGGACCCTCTACGGCCTCCGCGTAAGAACGCGGAGTCGGGATGTCTAGTGCATCCGGGTCTCCCTCATGGGCAAGCAGTACAGACGCGAGATGAGGTGAAGCAGCCGCTAGACACTGTAACTCCTCCTGCCTGTCCTCGAGGACGTCCGTGCCAAGAGCACACTCACCCCGGACGGACGGAGGACAGACAGACGCAGACTCAGCAACAAGACTAGCAGCGTAGTCGAGACGACAGCGAGCAGCAAAGTCGACGAGCTCAGCGACTAGAGCAGACGCAGCAGTGGACTCAAAAGAGGGGTCAGTGACGACAGTAGCAAGCAGACGCGTGACAGTAGGACTGGCAGCACGAAGAGAGTCCGACTCAGGGTCGGCAAGCGCAGGAAGAGAGGACTCAGGAGGAGAAGGCAAAGGGGCACGCAGAGGAGCAGTGGACGGACGCAAAGACATCCGGTGCGTGCCAGGGACAGGAGGAGGACGCTGACGCGAACTGCGACCACTAGCGCGAGCAGCACGAACAGGCGACGCGGGACGAGACGCAGGCTCACGACGCTCAGCAAGACCTCCAGTAGGACCAGTGTAAGGAGAGGGAGCAGGCAGTGGAGAGGAAGGCTCCAGCAGGGACTACGACTGGACAGGCGGTGGACCCTCTACTAGAGGAGAAAGACCAAGAACCTGCTGCAGGAGCGGAACGAAGTACGGCCGAGGCCGCGCGGCAGCTCCAGACTCAGCAGGGACAGCACCAGCACCCTCACCGACAGCACCAGCGCCACCCACACCTCTAGCGGCAGGACCAACAGCAGTAGGCTCAGCACCAACGCCCTCAGCAGCTCCAGCTCCAGGAGGACCCGCAGGTCCAGCAGCTCCGGGACCGGCAGCACCCGCACCCTCGACGGTCGAAGAAGCTCCAGCTCCAGCTCCAGCAGCACCTCCAGACTCAGCAGCACGCCTCCAGCGGCGAGCGAACCACTCGCGCAGCTCCTGTGGAGAGAGGGGCTCCTGGCGAGACGTAGCAGCAGGAGAAACCCCAGGGTCAGCAGCTCCAGACGCAGCACCCCCAGGCTCAGCAGCTCCCAGCTCAGCACCCCCAGGCTCAGCAGCTCCCGACCCAGCACCCC